AGGGCAGGGGAAGGCGGTGGGAAAGGCGAGGAGGGAGAGATGGAGGCAGACGCTGGGAGGCGGGGCTGTGCGGGCATCTCCTGGAGACCTCGGCTCCCCATGCCCCCCAGAGCCCAGCCCTGGGGCCTGGGGTCCTCTCTGAGCCTTGTCCAGGCCTTAGGTAAACCTCTTCCTTAAAGCACCCAACCTGTGTCCTGCCTGAGGTTGTAAGTTGACTTAAACCTTCATCTTGTTGGTTCCTTCCCTGCTCTCTGTCCCCTGGACAGGTGCACAGAGCAGAAGACATGGACCCTGCCTCAGCCCCCCCCCCAGGGGTACATCCTAGCTTGAGGGCACCCCAGACTCCCTGGGCCGCGATAGCTGGCAGTGGGCCTTGACGCTGCAGGGCGGGCTGCAGGGAGGAACTGAACAGGGCCAAGAGGGGCTTGAGGCTTGGGAGGAGGTGGGGAGCTGAATAGAGGGGACTCTTTCCACCCCTCTGGTCTGGGAGTGCTGAGAACACAGACGTGGGGACAGGCTGGGTGAATCTGGCAGATGAGCTCCGGCTCCGTGTCCTGTGCAGTGGGGCAGGTAGCACCCGCCCGAGGCTTCCCGGGGCGCGCACATGTGCTGAGGGCGGAGTAGATGGCACTAAATGGCAGCTGCCGCTGGTGTGGTCACCAAGGATGTAGCCCGGTGTTAGCCGGGCAGGGAGGGTGGATGTGGTCCCGGGCTGGAGGAAGCATATCCTGAGCAGGGGTTGGTGGAGGGACCCAGCTTGCGTGCTCTGGGGAGGCGGTCTTGTGGCGAGGAGCTGGAGAGGCAGCTGACAGTGAGGGCCTGGGGCGAGGCACAGAAGCAGCCTGGCCCTCCGGCTCTGCCTGGGCAGCCCTATTGCAGAGCTGCTCACTGACTCTCCTCCCCCAACTCCTCTTGGGGGGCTCACCTGCTCTGTCTGGGGCGGCCAGCCTTCCTCCTTGGGGAAACCTTGCCAGTCCTTTAGGAGATGGGGTTCTTCAGCCAGGAGGCCAGAAGTGTGACCCTAGCTCCCCTAGAACTTCCTGACCTGTGACCCTGGGCAGCCCTTGCTCTCCCGACCCCCGCGTGGTGGGGTTATAGGTGACCGTCCTCCCATCCCCCGTGGGCCAAGCCTAGCTTCCTTAGGAGGAGTCTGGAGAGAGCAGAGGGAAGTCTGGCTTACTCCAGGGAGCATGTGGGCAGGGAGTGCGGAGAGCAAGGCCACTCCGCTCCGGGTGTAACCTCCATGGGTGACGGAACCCAGGAGCAAGTCCTGGGTGGTGAGATCGTTGCATCTCATTTCACTCTGACAGTAAGTGGGGACGTAGCATTATTCCCTGGTGACCAGAAGGACAGAGGCTCAGGGCAGGAAGTGAGTTGCCAAGGTCACCCAGAGGGAGTAGCAGAGCCAGGATTAGAGCCCAGATCGCCTAGTTCTGGGTCCCTTTCGTGACCCCTCGGCCTCTTTCCTCTGACCTCTTGCCCCTGTCCAGCATTGGCGGGAGGCGGGGGGAAGGGTTGTCCCCACACTGAGTGGCAAACAAGCAGAAGTGGGTGCTGAGCACCAGCCCCCACTGACTGGCATCTGACCACGTCTAGCCAAGCCCGGGGCACCACAGAACCCCAGCTTGGGAAGAATCGGTCTTGGCCTTAGGTAGATTGAGACTCACTCTCAACTTTGCCACTTACTGTGCTTCCCCAAACGTTACGGACCCTCCCTGAGCCTCCGTCTCCTTATCCAGACGGAACACTGTGGCATGGAGGCAGGCAGACTAGCAGGATTTGCTGCAATAACATAACAACCAACTTCAAACATCTCGGAGATTTAAACGAACTTAGGGGCCTCTCTTGTCCCAGGTGCAGTGGGGTTGGGGGGCTGTTCCTTACTGTGACTCCGCACCCCAGGCCACCATCTCCACATCTGTGCCTACACACTAGGGTGGCAGGAAGCCCCGGCCCAGGCGGCACGGACTCGGCTTCCTCCTGTGAGTGGCGCAGGATCTTCCACTAACAGTTCGTGGGCTAGAGCAAGTCACGTGGCCACAGCCAACCTCAGAGGGCCAGGGGAGTGCAGTTCCTCAGCCCATGCCTGGAGGATGGGAGAGAGGTGGGGTCTTCGCAGGCACGCCTGCTGATGCCCACAGGGCTGCCCCACAGGCGCCGTAAGCACCCTGTGCTAAGGGAGCGGCGAGCTTGGCACACAGACGCGCCTAGTAAATGTTAGCTCCCCTCTCACCCCAACTCCTGGGAGATCCAATCCCCTGTCCTTTCCTGACTGACCCCCACCATCAGGTGGAACAGCCCCCCCCAATGGAGAAGACACTTGCTTCTGGCACACAGAGGGGTGGTGACACCCCTAGAGGCACACAGCAGCTGAGGCAAGACAAGCAGGCAGATGCCCACACTCCCAGCTGAGCGTCCTTCCCCAGTGTGTCTTTTCAGAAATGCAAAAAGGCAGCAGGGACCAGCATTACCTTGACTTTATTAAGGGCTTCACAAGACCCAGATCAAATTTCACCTCCTGCAATTGAACAAGAAATTCAGTTCGCTGCAACAGATGTGCTGTCTGATGCCAAGGAGGCCCAGGATAGTCTAGGTGGCCCACCTGGCGGGGGACTCCACCTCTCACTCCTCAGCTCCCTTTCACTCTCAGAAAGGTGGCATCCTCCCTGGTAGCAGACTATGGGCCTGCCCGAGGTCCAGGATGAGTCCCAGGTGAGTAACCGAGGTCTGGAGGAAGGGACGGTAGGTGGGGCAATGACTCTGGACTTGGGCCTAGGAGACTGGGGCAAGTCCCTTTCCCTCTTTGGCCCTCAGTGCCCCCCAGTTTAAGAGCTTGGCCCAGGTCCGCATCCCCACTTCTGACATCAGGGTTCTGGCAGCTTCCTTACCAACCAGCATTTTTTCCTCTCCAAAGTGGGAGAGAAGGCCTAATCCAGCCATCTACCCCTCCCCGTACATTCCCTGGACCAGGATTGGACCCTAACCTCCCTGCCCCCCACCCCATGCACTCCATAGTAGCTCAGTCAGGAGGAGGCAGACCAGGAAATACCAGGGCACACGTGCTCCAGGGAGGCTCATGGTTTATAGGCCAGGCGGGTCTTAGGTTGATTGCAATTTTCTGCCCTCTCTCTTGTGAGCTTGCCAGGAATGACCCAGGGGTGGAGTAATCCAGGAGGACTCCCAGGTGAAGGGGGCACTGATTGGAGCTGGACACTGAGCTGGCTGGGTAGGCAGGGAGGGAAGCAGGTGCCAGGGAGAGAATACGGGAACAGTGGTTGAGGGGAGAGTGCCTGGAGTGGGTGTGAGGGACAGTCGTCACTTGGAGGATAAATTGATGTGGGAAAATGTAACTTCCTCGTTCTAGCAACACACACACACAACACACACATATGCACCCCCCCCCACACACACACACGCACCCACGTGTTGCTTTCCCAGCAGCAGCTGCAGGCAGGATGTTGGGGTTGTTGGGGAAGACAGAAGAACTGTCAGTGGAGACTTGACAGTGCAGAGCGGGGGTGCTGCCGGCAGACCTGGGCGCTGCGAGAGGCCTCCTTGCACTCTGAATCTGTGACAGCAGCAAGAGGAGCAGTAACTCTACGGGTACGGTCGTTACTGAAGTGCTGGGTGTCCATGTCTGAGTCCATCCCCCCAGTGCTCTGTGAGGGACGCGCTGCCCCATTGATTCCTTGCTTCCCAGAGAAGGCAAAACAGTGGGCCAGAGGCCGCTGGTCCGTGAGGCGTGCTCAGGCCATTGGACTGCGGGGGCCTCAGTGCCCGCTTCTCCAGCGTCATTTGGGCTTTCATGGAGAGCGTCCTGGTCGGTCCACAGAGCGGGGTTTTGAGAGAAACGGATGAGAAACGGGTCCTAGATGCCCCCTCTCTGGCTCTCCTTGATGTCTCTAGAGTTTGAGGGGTCTGAGGGCCGCACTCGCTTGGTCTTTAGCTCCGAGTCCCCAAGGGCCTGACAAACCCAGAGATTCAAAGCCCCCAAGCCCCAGATGAGTGCAGAGCCCTTTCCCTGGAAGCGAGAGCACGGCGGCGGCTGCTTCCCCGGATGAAGGCGAAGGCGCCAGCCGCCAGCCTGCCTCCGGGTCTCTCGCCATTGCTGGGGCTGCTCAGCCAGCAAGGACTCTCGAGCGCGTGTTTGTTCTGCCTCTGAAGCTGTTTGGAAGCGTGACTTCGAGGGGCACACGCTCCAGAACCATCCCCCGGCAAGCTGAAGCCTGGCTTGAAATCCAGCCGCCCGGGTGCGGGGACACTCTCTGGGGGGAAACTGGCCGAGACCCGGCACAGCTTGGCTCCAGCGCGGGTTTCGTCGTCTGGCCCTGGAAGGCACCGTTCGCGTGTTTCCGGGTTCGGGTGACCACGAGCCCTGGGCAGGTGCTGTTCGGTTGGCCTCCTTGGCCAGCGACATGCTCATTTGCATTTTAGGTTGGTTCGGTTTCTCTAGCAGCTTAGCGTTTTCGATTCCAGCCTGCAAATTGTAGAGAGGTGTCAGCTGCCTCCTCAGAGCTTCCGTGGAGCTTTCTGAAGACTGTTCATTCAGTTGTCTGTCATTCATTCATTTGTTCAAAGAAATATTTCTTGAGTGTCAGGCACTAGGGATACACAGGGAAAGAGGCGGCAAACTCCCAGCTACCTCCTCACGAACGGAGGCCTCCGTCTCCCCCCGTGCCGTTTCCACCAACAGCAGCCTCTCCTCTCTGTGCACACCCAGATGCGTGGATCTTCCGTAGCCACTTCTTTGCAGTCGGGATTTTCCTTCTCCGCAAGCTCCTGCCTGGCCTCGCTGCTGAAGCCACCGCTAAAGTCTATAAAATACCCACTTGCCCTCTATCCGTGCAGGCTTGGGGCAGCTTGGGAGAGCCGCCGGCTTCCACACAGGACCCTGTCGTTCCCACGCCCAGACCCACCACCCACGCCCCCACCTCCTTCTGCAGCCACCCGCGGGGCTCTTTTGCCACTTCCCACAACCCTTCGGCCCCGCCTACCTCCATCTCTGTCCTCAGGCCTGTCTACCTTCAGAACCAGCTTCTGGCCTGGCCCCTCCGCTGGCAACTCCAGTCTGCCCTCCTCCAAACCTGGGTGGCTTCTAGAAGAGGCCCCAGACAAGGTCCTGCCTGGACGGGACCCCGCCAGTCCTCTGGGCTCTTCTGAGTTAACCCACTCCGCTCAGCCCAGACATACCTGCGGGGTCCAGGCTGCCCCCTGCCAGATGCCCAGGGTTGCTATGGTGACTGTCTGCCTGTCTTCCCTGTGTGGAAAAATAGCGAAAAATAATAGCAAAGACTGTTTTATTCTGGGTCCCACCTGGGAGCCGTTTAAGCCTCCCCACTTCTTTTGACACGTAATAATTTTTTTCTGCTTTTAAGATGATCCTGAAATCTCACTTCCTCTTCTTCCCCCTCATTTCAAATCTCTGTGCGGAGTCGCTGAGAGCCTCAGGTCTTAAAAACAGATCCTCGCACAGATGCGCCCTTGGCGCACGTGCTTACAAGCCACGGACCCAGCACGGCGGCCTCCCCGGGGCCTCTCCGTCAGCAGAACAGCCCCCGGGGCTGGGCCTCCTCCACCCGACATGGCACACCCCTTCACAGTTTGCAAAGCCCGTTCATGGTGGAGCTCAGGTGGGAACCACGGGTGGCCTCATGACCTGCCCCCCTGTTGTCACGTGAGAAGCCTCAGGCTTGGGATGTCAGGTACACTAGCCAGGTGGAGCGGGGCTTCCTGACGCTCTAGTTCTGGTTCGGTAGCCAACGCCCCGAGATGATGGTGTTGGCTGTGGAAGGATCCCCACTACTCACCCTCCTTCCGCCCTTGGCAGGGCATCCTTTGCCTGGTGGTGAGCAGAGTTGGCAACCTGGGGACTCAGGGAGGCAGCCATGGAAGGGCAGTCTGATACAGGGTCCAGCTCACCACACTGGGTTCCCAAAGCCCCTCCTAGCCCCCTGGGTTCCCTTGGTTTCTGTCCTCCAGCTAGAGACCTTCCTGGCCGCCTCTGAGCCCCAGCAGACCAGGCTCTCTAGTCTGGCCCTCTGCCTGGGCAGCCACCGTAACCGCCCCCAGCTGCTCTCTGCACCCATCCCTCCTCCAAGAGCCTTCTCACCTTCCCACAGGGCACCCTGAGGTCTCTGTTCTCCTTGTGACCTGGTGGAGCCAGTCCCACTTTCTCCATTGTGACTTCCCTCTTTGAGGTCAGCCCACATTGGAAGGCACCGCATGCGCGTCGCCCTCACACATTACCTTCGTACCACACGCTACCATGGACCTCACGCGTGCGCTTCCAGCAGCAAGACATTTTCCAGAATGTCTTCTGTCTTACCAAAGAATGGACATCCATGGAACACAGGCATCACCGCCTACCATGTTTGCTTTAAGGTCATGACCATTTCAATGGGCCTCACGTTAGCCTAGAACATTCCCATTCACTCGAACATTCACCTGGCCAGCTCTGGGTTTGCAGAGACTGCAGACTGCTGTCCTCCCTTCCTCCGATCAGGGTTCAGATGAGCTCCCTGAGCTTGCAGGACTGGAGGGCACTCCTTGGAGGTATCTTGAGTCAGTTCCCTAAATTTGGAATTGGGTTTCCACAGCTCAAAACCTGCAGTGATACATGTAAAACTCTGAGCCTCCAGCCACACAGGGTGCACCCATGTATGCACGACTTGGGGGCCACTAGGTGTGGAGTGGCAGGTTTAAGGCCCAGGCCTGACCCCGGTGGTTCCCTCTGGCGATCCTTTGGCTTCAGGGTATAGCAGACAGATCCCAGAGGAGCAGGGCTTGCCAAGATCTCCAGCCCTGGGGTGAGTGAGGGATGACCTTTGAGAAGGGGGTATGGATGGCTTAGCGTGGTCCAGGGTAGGGGGTTCCAGTCGCCCCTTTCTTAGCAGGGTCCCTGAGACTGAGCCAGGCCTGGTCTTGACCTCAGGAATCAGGATGGGCTCAGGATCAATCTGGGTCTCCCTGTGCTCTTTAATGATCTCTTGGCAACAGCAGTCAATGTGGGAGTAGAGCCCAGCGTTGGAATAAACATGTAGACAAATGGAGGTTCAGATCTTACTTCCGCTTTCTAATACTCTGGGTGGCTGGGAGGATGCGGCAGGCAGAATGGCCATGAACAAGGCTGTAGGGTGGACATTCCAGCTCTGCTGGGCCAGTTGCATGACCTTGGGCTTGTGATTTCTCTTCTTTGAGCCTCAGTCTCTCCTCTGTAAAACAGGACAGTGACGCATCTGCCTCGTCAGCTCGCTTGCACCTACCGTAGCGGCCAGCAGCAAGTGTCCACTAAGTGCGGGCCTTGTGGCTAATGTTAACATTGCCCCTCTTACTCTATCTGGGGGAGCTTGGTGCTCAGTCTTCTCATCTGTAAAATGGGGTTGTGATGGCACCGAGGGCCTCAGTTTCCCACCTGACACCAAAGTCCTCCCCACTCACCACCCCGTCTCCCCCAGGTGTGTGCCACTGCCCTGTCTTTCATGGATACCTCAGCGCAGATAGCCCACAGGGAGGCAGGAAGGAAATATGTATCTTGCAGTCTGTCCGTCATTTAGCAATGGTGGCATCAGTTTTCATAGAGAAGGGGAATCTGCAAAGTAGTCAAAAAATATTTCCTCTGTGACTCCAGCAGCCCAGCTGTTCTCTTTCAAAAAAAGTGCTGAGGGCTGAAAATAAAATAAAGGAACAATGATAGAAAGACACAAGGAAAGGAGGAGGGAGGGAGGACAGGGAAGGACAGAGCAGACAGGGAAGCGTAGGGCCTCGGGCACGGTGGCCAAGAGGACGGACCTTGTGCCGGGGCCTGCCCTGGGCTGCCTGGAACAGCATCCTGCCAGGCTGTCATGACCGTGGCTCCTGCTCTGAGCCGCCAGCTGCCATGTGCCCAGCAAACCTGGGTTTAGAGGCAGCGCTGATGGAAGCACAGGGATTGAGTTTGTGGGTGCCCCTACTCAACCCTAGGGAGCCCTTGGCTTTTTAAACAGTGGCTTCTCAGTGAGTTCAACATTGGTCTCAGTATTGGGGGAGGCAGAAGTTGGGGAGAAATTTGCTTGGTCCCTGAGCCCACAATGGCAATTGTGGCCAGTCTGTGACCCTGTACAGACCTCACTGTGCCCAGCCTCTGCACCATCATGCCTACTGTTCCTTCCTCCTACAATGTCCATTCCTGCTTTCAGGATCCTCCTACTCCTGCAAGACTACCTCCCTCAGGGAACCCCCAGACTCCCCCCACCACCTTGCCTCTTCTCCTCCCACTCTCATGAGCTGGGCCTCCCCCTCTGGCAGCCATACCGAGACCCTCTCTCAGTTCTGGCTTCCTCGTGCTTTCTGGCAGGGGCAGTGCAGCCCAGGGACCATCGCAGGGCCTGGGCTGAGGGCCTCCAAGGGCCTGGGTCCCAGCAGGCCATCCCCTTTATCTCAGACGCCCACCAAGAAGGTCACTAGGGATACTGCCCCCTCCCCCGCCTTCAGTGTCAGTGCCTGTAAAATAGGCAGTTCTAAGGACCCCCCCCCAGGCGTAGCCAACCTGGAGCCTCCTTGCATCACACCCTCAAGCTGCAGTGGACACTGGGGTGCCAGCCCCAGCCCTGTCATTAGCTTCGCTGTGACCCAGGCAAGTTACTGTGCCTCTGTTTCTCCTCTAAATTGGGGACACCATAGAGCCTTCCCCAAAGAGCTTTTAAAAGTGGAACAAGTTACTGCCTAGCTATAAATGGCCCTGATGTCCGGCGTGGAGTAAACAGCAGTATGTGTTAGGTCTGTGGTGGGGCCTGCCTCCTGCTGGACCCGTTTAGGGGGGCGCACCCAGCCCCATCACTCGTTGCCATCAAGTCCCTGCCCTCGCGGGGCCCCTGGATACAGAGACTGCTGATGGGGTGTTGGACCGTGGGCACAGAGATGGCAGAACAGTCAGGCAGACTCGGCGTGGGGAGATGCCTGGACCAGGGGTCACCCTCACACCTTGACCTGAATGTGGCTTTACACTCTGCAGCGTGGGCCCGGGAGACAGGGCTGGCTGGCCTCTGCCAGGCCCACCTGGAAGTGCGGGGCCCAGGTTCCTGCCCATGCTCCACCTGCTCATTGATTTGTGACCTGTGTGGAGGGCACGGGGCGGGGGGGGGGTATGGAGGGGGAGGGTAGGGCAGGGAAAGAGCACCACTGACTGAGCCTCGTCTGTTCTCACAGCCTTCCGCCCTTCCCTTCCGTTCCCCACTCAGCAGTCTTGGTTGCCATGGCAGCCGGGAAGCAGGACTCGTGATGGGCGGAGCCAAGTGTGCCCGTGTATGCCCAGGTGGGCGGGGCCTCTGTACACACCCCATGCCCTCCTGCAAGTGTGGGCTTAGTGGGCAGGGGGCCTTGGCGCCTCACAGACTGGTCTTCCTGGGCTGGCTGACGTCCGCTGGCGTGCAGGCTGCTGCGGGGGCACAGTGCCTTTAGACTCAGGCTGGCAGGGTCTGCCCCTCGCCCCCACGGGGCTCATGCTGGAGACCCTCACACCCTGCTCACGGCACTGACCTGGCTTCGTGGTGCGGGCAGGACAGGCGGAGCCATTTCAATATGGGGAAGGGGAAACTGAGGCCCGCTCGTGCACTCATTCGTCTGACGCGCCTCGGGGGCTGACCTTCCCAGGAGGCCTCCTCGTCCACGCCTGAGAAGGCTGGCTAGTGTCTGCCACGGGGCGGCTAGCAGCACGGTGTTGCGCTTGGCTTCTCTCTACCTTCTCTACCAGGGCTGAGGGCTGGCTGAGGAAAGCCTGCCAGCCTCCCCAAGGTGGGTCTGGAGCCAGCTCTGGGCGGGGAGGGAGAGGGCAGGCAGTCAGATGGTGCAACATGTGTACAGGGATGCGACTGGGGCTGTTGAGGAGGCAGCCCGTGTTCGTGCATCGGGGACCAGCCCCCCTGGAGTGGGGGGGGCGAGCACGTAGTTCTGAATTTGTTCAAGACGCGTCCCACACTTCAGACATTAGCTGGCATTTATCTTTAGCCATGAAATGTGCCAGACCCCTCCCCCCACCCCGGCATGCTAACTAAATGTGAACATTCCCTGCCAAGTTCACGAGTGAAGAGAGAGCGGGCACTGGTAGAGTGAGTGGTGACAGGTTCTCCTCTCTGCCTTCCGCTTGGGTGACTGGGAGGGACGCTGAAAGGAGCAGCCCCTCCACCACCCCCTGTAGTGCATCCTGGCGACGCACTCTGGCCCCTGCTTCCTGGGGTCTGATGTATGAAGCTTTTGCAGGCTGGCTGACCAGAGCTCCCTCTTTTCAGACCCCTCAGTCCCCTGATTTGGGGAACGGGCTGGGGGTTCTCCACTCTGCTCTCTGGGGAGGACATGGAAGTTCCAGGGGATGGGGGAAGGAGGTCTACGATCTGTGAGTCACTGGGAAATTTCCCAGGGCACACAGGCCTTCTCCCCACCTACCTGATGAGCCACCCTGACAGCGCAGGTATTTATGGCTGGTTTTCACGCCCCAGCAGGTGTTGTGAACACACTGCGTCTGAGTGTATGTGCCCATGTTTTGCTTTGAGAGTGTGGGTGCCCTCCTGTTGTCTGAGGCCTTCCAGAACTTTCCAACCCAGGCTGCTAGCTCAAGGCACGTCACTTACCCCACAGAGAGGATTCCTCCAGGGGTCTCCAACCAACCCCCAACCTCAGTGTCCATCCCTGGGGCCATTGCGGGCTGCAGGTTCTGGCATCACCCAGGCAAGTCCCTCACCTCCTTCTGCATGGATTGCTGGAGGGATGGGGCAGCCAGTTCAGTGCTTCATCTGTCAACTTGAGGAGTGGCCAGTGAGAAGTCGGCCTGGCCTCAGCCTGCCCTGGCCCGGCCCTGCTCAGTGCAGGGTGCATGGCTGGGTGTCTCTTGCCCTCTTTGAGTTACTTCCACTTGCACCAGTGCCAGCCACATTTCTGAGGAACAGAGATGCCAATGGCAGGTGGGGGCCCTGGAGAAGCAAGTAGATGGTAAGGTCTGTCCTGGGACCCCTGGAACCAGGGGACCCCCCCCACTCACCCAACTGCCTCCAGGCTCTGATCAGTCCTGTTTCAGGGGCTGGGCTTCTAGAGCAACTTGGGTAGAGAGGGAGTGGAGAGGGAGGACACAGGCCAGATACCCCCACATGGCCGCTCCCCACTCACTCCCCCTACTCTCCTCGCCACCCCCCAACAGCTGGAGCCCTGAGTGGAGCTTGGGTTTTCTGTCTGTAGCCTGATGGGCCTTGGGAGTGAGGGAGAGGTAGGGAGCCCTGCTCAGGACACCAGAGGCTGATGAGACACACCAGAGGCAACACCTCCACGTGGCTGTGACGCCACAGTCTGCAGCACAGCACAGTTACAGCAATAGCAGGTGGAAGACTCGATGCACACGCACAACCAGACTTGTGAGCCCAAAGCTCACCCTGCAGGGGAGGACCGTGCCCAGGCCCTCCCTGTTCCTGCGGCTCTGAATGAAGGTGCTCACTTATCCTCAGGGCTCTCTGGAGCAGGGCAGGGACTTGCCCAGGTGCTCTGCGCAGAGGGGCCATGTCCCAGAAGGCTCTCTTGCTCATCACATTTACCTGTTTGCAGGCAAATCATCCTGCAGCACAATCCAATACTGAGGGTGCTAGGTGGGGAGACGGAAGCCCAGGAAGCCTGCTGGGGGCAGCAGCAGGCATCAGGAGGGATGCCCCTGTTCCCTGTTCTCTTGGCTTGCTGCCTTTGGCCCAGAGCTGTGGCTCTACTCTGGGCACACACTTGTAACAATGGCCCTGGGGGGAGCACCTTTGGTACCGCCCTGTCCCTGACCCCCTGCTGGGGCTGGGGGTTGGCACGCCTAAGAGAGGCAGGAAGTGGGCACAGGCCCATGTGACTGGGAGATGTCCCAGAAATTCTGGGCCTTTGGCTCCTGGACTTTCCTCCCTGCGTACCTGCCTTCTGCATGGCTCTCCCAGCCTCTGGCGCCTGCCTTGTGACCGGACTGTCACTGACGACCCCATCGGGTCTGGGCGAGATAAGGGAGGAGAGAGCACCCTTCTCACCTCTGAGTTCCCTCAGCTCCTCTTCTCCCCCCACTGCCCTCCTGGACAGTCTTGCTCTGCCACCCGGCCTTCCTGCTCCCTATTCCTCTCAGCTCCCAGCACCATCCAGGGGGCCAGTTGGGCCCTCCTGTCACCCGCCCTGGGGTCGGCTGCCTTTCTCTCCCCTGACCCTCTGAGAGCAGAGTCAGGGAGAGAGATGGAGACAGAAAGTGATGGCACTTTGAGGGGTCCGGAAGGGGCTAATGCTGATCTCTGGGGGCCATAACCTAAGCTGACTAGCCCCAGAAGTGCTCCCCGCGCCCAGTTCTCTGGAGCAGCCGGTGGCCACACCGCTGACCTGTGTGCCAGCTCTTCAGTGTGATGCAGGCTTGTTCCAGCTCCCCCACATGGGACCGCTGTGAGCCTGGGCAGAAGATGTCCCCTCTTGTGCTGGGGGTAAAGGGTAGGTGTCGAGGGGCCCAAAGTGAGCACCCCGGCCCAAGAAACCGTCCCTCCAAGATGCCTCTTTCCCTCTGATCAGACCACCTGACCCCAGCCGCCGCCCCCGTGGGCAGATGATGGACAGGCAGGCGCCGAGTGCTCAGAGCTCCCGGGCAGGAGGACCCCTGGGAATGTCCCTGCACGGTGACTGTCAGAACACTCCTTCCGACCATCACAGACGCTGAGCGAGAGGTGGCCTGAGGCCAGCCGCTGGGGGAGGGGCGGGAGGCCTGGGCTCCAGGCTCAGCGCTGACTTGCTGCGTGGCCTTGGTCCATTCTGGTGCTCTCTGTGCATCTGCGACATCGCTCCAGCAATCTGCGAAACACAGCGGTCCGCCAGGGCTGCATAAGATAAGATAAGGGGTGCAGAGAGGACCTCCAGAGGAGAGGCTCAGCCTGAAGTGCCACTGATAAGAACTTGCAGGATGCCCTTGCCCCTGGGAGGAGGATCCTCTTACAGAACGAACATCCTGGTGGTTTCAGGCCTGGGGAAGTAACCTGTCTGCTGCCCAGAATGAGGGGGCAGGCCGAGCTCTGCTCCCCGTGTGACCTCAGGCAAGTTAGGGGGTGATCTGGTCACCTTTCCAGGATCAGGCTGGGGACAGGGCTGCCTTCTGAGGCCTGCATTGCTTCCTATGGGCCCGTGTGGCCCTTGGCAGAGCAGAGCCCGTCAGGGGCACCCAAGGGACCAGTCGGGCTGTCTGCTCCACCTCTTGGAAGGGGGCCTCTCAGAGACAGACCCCTAGCTGGAGAGAGTGGGTTCTAGCGCTTCAACACTGAGGAGCCAAAATGCCAGCGCTCCTGGCCACCCCTCTCCCACCCCACTCCCTGGGGAGCTCCCTGAGGGTGGGGGTGGCCTGTGTGTGGTGAAGCCTTGGATGGGCCAAGCTCTGGCAGCTGGACACCTTCACTCATCAGCTGTCTCTCCTTTCCTACTAATGTCCTGGCTTCGGCCTTAATGGACCGTAAACGGAGCCTGGCAAAGGGAAGCCTCATTAGGCCTGATCTGATTAGGAGCCCCTGCGAGATTGGGGGTGGATGAGGGAGGTGGAGGGAGCACCACATGCACGAGGGCCTCTTGTGCACCAGGAACATCACATGCAGTGCCTTAGGCCCCTCTCCAGGATCTAGACAGGACTGCCCCCAGGTAGCACGAATGAAAAGCAGCTCAGAGAGGGTGGGTGGTCACGCGGCCAGCAAGTGACTCTGCTGGGGGCTACCCCATGTGTATCTACCTCCAGCTTCTAGTTTGTGCCAGTACCCCAGCCGGCCTCAGCTCATCAGAATGGGCAGGACCTCATGGCAGGTTTGTGGGGTCTCTGCTTGCACATCCCTGTGTGGGCAACTCACAGTCCCTTTCTCACTCTGAACCTCTGGACCCCTCCCACCCAGCACCACCAGAATCATAGTGGGTCATGTTGGGGGGGAGTGTGTGGACTATAGCAGCCCATCTCCAGCCTTTCTCCACACCTACCCCTCATCCATCTCCCTCTGCAACCAGGGAGGGTGTGGGGGGCCCTGCAATGCAGGCGGAAGCCGCCCCTTCCATAGTCTTAGCTAACAAGCTGTTTATGGGTGTGACATGACACCTGCTTTCTTCTTTATAACTTCAATAACTTATGGGCATATTAGCGGCCAGGCGGCTGCCCTGGGTCCCAGCCGGGACTGGCGATGCATCCTGGTGCCTCTGCCCATGTTTACTCTCTCC